CCTTTTTTAATGGTATGTGAAAGCTCAATTTTAACTTTTATTTCATTTGTTTTCATATCGTTATTAAGGGTTTTCGTTTTTTGACAGCTAATTTGTTATACCATAAGAATACAAAAGACACTCAAACCGTAACCATTGAAAGGCCCTCTTCTTGTTCAAAGTATAGACGGTAATGCCGAATATGTATATAATTATTACAAGTAATAGACATAACATGGGATGGAAGGAAGTTTGAAACAAAATACTCACAGTAACTATAGTAAGAGAAAATACACATAGTACCTTTGGAAAAAAGGCACAGAGCAGAATATCTTACACGTATATACAGAAAAGTCATCCTTGTTTATAAGGTTAGAAAGCACGGACTGTGCCTCCATCTTTCCCTTTAATTATTCCGCTTAGAAAGTTCTTTTTCTAAGTGTAATTGCATTAATGGAAACTTATCCACTGCGGCTTGCTACTAACTTGGTAGCCGACAGGTTTGGGATTTATGACAGGAGTTCGTAAATGTCATAGCCGCCGGAGAAAACACATATTTTGTCCTGATTGGATCGTTTGCTTTGGCAATTTTTATTGCAAATTGAGCGCAGTGACATGCTAGCCTCATAGAGAGTGTTTATTGGCTCAGAAAGTATAACAGGTCTTATACAGTCTTGGATTAAGGTTTTGATAATGTTCAGCACTACATTATTGATTAACTGAGATAAATATGCGGATTAAACAAAGTCAACGTATTTTAAATTTTTCCTTGTAAGATAGCAATGGAAAATTTGAAGACTTCTATACCCATCGCTGTGGATCCTGTATTGATGATTATTGAAAACTCATTTTTAAGGCTACGGTAATAGAAGAGCAGTTTCGAACACCATTAAGGAGCTCACACACATATCTTGAACAGGAAAGTGATCGTCCAGCCATTTGGGGAGCAAGTACGACTCAGAAATAAAATCAGTGTCATAAAACTTAACGTTCCGACGGAAACAATGATGATTCGCTACTACGAATTCCGCAGATATTAAGTAGCGGAAAAGAGGTTTCGATTTATCTGCTGTTGACTGAACATTTGCGGGCCTAAAGCTACCGTAAATCTACCTGTGCCATTATGTGCGTACTAAAAAACCTAATGAGCTTAACGACAGGGTTCGACTCTACAGTCTTCTAGCGGAACCTCATTGAGTATGTTTAGTGCTTGGTTCAGTTTGGGTAGACCTGCCATTCTTTGAATTGAAGGCAAAATTCAGTGGCGAATGAAGGACAAAATGTTTGATCATAAAATGCTGCTACTCAGAGGGAATTTTAATGCAGGAACAGGAACAAGAACCGTCGCCACTGATCTACAGACATGTGAAAGAACATGAAACTGAAAAAGTTCAGTTACCGTCGCCACGTGCCATGTGGGAAGGCGTCGATGATCACATCGGTCAGACCATCATAGCGGTCCACAATCACCATCGAATATGCCATTTGTCAAAACAACGATGTCGGATAACGACCGCAAAGAACGATATTAGTTTCAACCTTCCTCTGATTTCCTTTGTACAGCCGACACCATTGGAACTTGTCCAGTTTTTGGGACGCGCGGAATTCGTCCGCATCTTCGTTATTTGTTGCCCTGAGCATACTGGCCTCACCAGTCCCTCTTGCCTGTTAGTATTTTTTGACCGAATGAGCGGTGCTACTGAGCATGACGATGGGCACGTTGTGGGGTAGCTCATGTGTGCAATTTGATTTTATTGCTAGCCTGTATGTGCCATGAATTGGATCGTCGATAAACATTTTTGAACGATAACCAAGTTTCGTCCAACATTGAGGAAACTCATCAGATCGTCAATCTAAACGCTTCATGAGGCGGAAGATGATGTCCGAACGCAGAGAGCGACAACCAATCTTATATGGCAAACATAACAATTTATGATCAGCTATATATGCAAACTTTAATGAGCGCTAAATACATTACACCACTCATTAAATTTTAGAACTGTACATAAAAGTCTCAATTTAAAGCAAGAGTGCTCATCGGTGACAAAGAGTACATATGAAAATACGAACCTTGAGTGAAAGTGCCACTCTGCGCAATATCTGACAGCGACGCCGGTTGGTATCTTGAAGGGAATCCCAACTCGGCAGAAGCGGTCTGAAAAGGTAATGCAATTATAACATAGGTTGTTGGTGGTTTATGAAGCCGTGCTGTCGTTACCTGGAAGGGATTAAAGCTGCGGTCGTACGGGGTGTGTGGCTGGTGATGGTACGCACCATAAGTCCAGTTTTGGTGAGCTGCGTTGGCAAAGGCGTTGGCATACGCTTCGGCGGAAACCTGCGCCGGTGGGCACACGGACACCATCGGATTTGGACTGTGATGATGAAAGTCATATCCGGATGGCCATATCTTGAGAGCCGCTGCCGCAGCAGCTGCCGCAGCCGACGACTTGCGGTCGACCATCTCTCTACCCGCATCGTAGCAGTAGTAGCTGGGGCTGAGCTTGACGGAGCTTGGCCCGAAGGAAAAGGAGCCGTTCGGTTCCGCGGGGCAGTTCCACAGGGCCTGCGTGGTCGATGAAGTGTTACACCG